GCTGCCCCCGGAGCGAGGCGAAGGCGTGAGGGGTCCCCGGCACCTACCGGGAGGCTTCTGGGTCGGGCTGTGCAGAGTGGAGAGGTTCAACGCGGCCGCCTTCTCCCGCACCGTGGCCATGGCGCTGGTCGCCCGGGACGCCACCTCCGAGACCGCCGCAGCCGAACCGACTGAGCGCCCGCGCCACCGCGGCCGGTTAACTGGCAGGGGGCGGGGCTCCCCTGCGGGGCGGGGCTGCCTGTTGGCTCCGCCCCTTTAATCACGTGTCTCCCCCGGGCCACGTGTAGCTTGCTGCTGCTTTGCTCCAAAGGCCTTGAGCCGGAGGGGACCGGAGGTGTAAAGCGTTCCGAGGGGCGGGGCGGGGTGGGGCGGGGCCCTGGAAGTCCGCGGGGACACTCACCCGCCAGCTGGGTGCAAACACCGCCCACTGCACTCCGCCCCACCGGTACGAGGACCCTGCCAGTGCTTCAAGTGTGCTCACCTGAACCAGGTCTGGAGGTCTCAGCACCTGCTGGAAAGAGCTGCCTTGTTCAGTTTGTGGGACTTGGGCCTAGAACACAGCTGTGCTAATGATGGTATAAGAATAAATGCATTCAAGCTTCCAGGCCTCCCTTCTCGTTACCAACAAATAAATTCTTATCTAGCCGGGAGGGCAAGGTCTAGAGGTCAGAAGAAGACAGCAGGGTGCTGGCTGCCAAGGAAATCTGTGTTGATTCCAAGGACGCTCTGGGTCAGGTGAGTGGGGACAGTTTGTTTCGGGAAGGGGAGCAGGAAATCCAGGGGTTCCCGTGTGGTGGGCATCTGCAAGGAGGGGCAGTCCAAAGAACAATCACTCAATGGCCCGTACTCACATTTTTTAAGTTTGGGAATAAGTCATTTTCTTTTTTTCCGGTCATAGGGCTTGAACTCCGGGCTTGGGCACTGTCCCTGAGCTTCTTTTGTGCAAGGCTAGCGCTATACCACTTGAGCCACAGCCCCACTTCTTGTTGTCTGGTGATTTATTGAAGATAAGAGTCTCATGGACTTTTCTACCGGGGCTGGCTTTGAACCGTGATCCTCAGATCTCAGCCTCCTGAGTAGCTAGGATTACAGGCGTGAGCCACCGGTGCTTGGCAAATGTTACATTTTTTAAGAGTACTTTTAGAATGAGGATGCTTTGTAATCTGGGTATAAAATAGTATATTGTTTAAGTGTCAGTTCACCACTTAGCTTATTTGGCACAAGCTCCTACATGTACTTGTCTCAGGGAATCTATACTAAAGAGCTGTGACCCTAGGGACTGAGCTTTCCTGTGTGCGGGATAGGGCAACACTTGCTGACCCTGAGTTAGAAAAGGTTGTCAGTCCAGTTAGCCCTTTTTAATGTGCTCTCTCCCCCTGGTGGTAGTAAAACCCAATGTCACTTCTGTTTTTTGTAATTTGTTGGTTATGGCTCACTAAGGCAAATTCCAACTGAGCTTAAGTTTCAAGACTCCCCCAGACACTAGTTGAACATACAAGTGATGCTCATTGCCTGGGAGGTGGAAAAAAACGTCCTTTATTTTGGAAAACAAATCATGACAAATATTAACACGGGGGTCTTTTTCAAATTAGCTCCAAAATACGGAAAACAAGAACATTCTCTCCCTCTCTCTCTCTATTTATTTTTTGATGATTCTGTCTCCTTTACATATGGTGTATTCATGTGTAAATCTTTGGGAGAGGGAGGGCACAGAACTCAAAGGAAAAAGGGTGAAAAGTGCAGCAGTGGAGCTCACTGGACACTGATGAAAGTGAACTACACAACTTATGAGTGGAGATGGGAGGGAGGGACTGGGAGAGAGGGAGGGAACAGAAGGCACTGTGCAAAAGGAAATGTACTTATTACTGTAATTTTAATTGTACATCACAGTTGTAATAACAATAAAGTAATTTTTAAAAAAAGCAGGTGACAGGTGACCTCCGTGACCATTTTGATACTTCATACAGCATCTTGAAGAGTTTTTTGTTGGCTTGTGCTGTACTTGCCAATCTTATCAGCAATGGGAGGATTTTCTTCTCTACCTGTCTATATTCTATACACCTTATAGGCCTAACCCTTTCTGACCTTCACTGCAGTTGTATTCTCTCTCTGAGAATACAATGGCACATGTCAAATGCATTACTATTTACCTGTGGCTTTATTGACCCTCTAGTTATTTTAGCATACAAACACATTTTGATTGCCTAACAAAATTGGAAAATTGTCCAGAACAGGGAGGCTATTTTAACCTTTTAATCTGTGTAGTGTTGGGCACACAGTAGATGTTATGATTGTTGATTGACTGATTATTGATAGGATTGTTGGTTGATATAATTAATTGTTGTCCTCATCAAGATACAGACCCCTACAGCCATGAGTGAAAAAAGATGTGCATGAAGTCCTGTGTTCAAACCTCAGTCCTAGCAAACACACACACACACACAAACACTCAATAGAACCCTAAAAAGAATATCAACTTCCAGTTAGAGGTGTAGTTCATTGATAGAGCACTTGCTTGCTATGCACAATGCCCTGAGTTTGAACCCCAATAGCATACATGCACATAAATGCATATGAACACACCATACATACATACACGTCAGCTTTATGTTTTTATTGTTTAGGTACTGCTATAAACATCCTTAAAACCAGACACTGGTGGCTCACACCTGTAATCATAGCTATTAGGAGGCTTAGATCTGTGGATCACAGTTCAAAGCCAGCCCAGGCCGGAAAGGCTGTGAGACTCTTCTCTCCAATTAACCATCAGAAAACAGGAAGTGGTGCTGTGGCTCTGAGTGGTTGAGGACTAGTCTCCAGCAAAAAGAGCCCATACCGAGTTCAGAGTTCAAGCCCCACAACCAAAAAAAAAGGAAAAAAATCCTCAAAATTTTCCTCTCATATGTGGAAAGCATCAAAATCATAGTTTGTAATGTGAAAGGAAATTTCTTTCACCTCTTTCTTCTTTATTTTTCCCCTTCCTGAACAACTGCTAGCAGCATGCACCAAGATTCTCATTTCTGCACAGTATTTTTCTTTCTACTTAGAGAAGGCATAGAATTAGCATCAAGATAACTAGGCAAACAAGTGGGCTGTCAGATTTGGTTCATTTATAATGATTTACGATGATCATTTATCAAATTGTGGTGTCAAGTCAGTATTATGTTTAGTATTTGGGAAGAACTTCACATGATGAAACTGATCTGAAAATCAAGTTTACTTACGCCACTCAAGAGGGAGGAAAGAGAACAGGAAGTTTATGATTCATTAATAGGTCCTGGTGCAATCTTAAATCCACATACACACAAAAACCAAACCACATCTATTTTCTATAGCAATGTAAGAAAATATAGAGTGAAAAAAATTTATAGTTTTTTTTTTTGTTTTTTCTTATAGAGCTAGGGCTCTAATTCAGGAACTCATATGCTTTGGCAAGAGCTATGCTGATCTACATCTCCAGCCCACAACAGGTCTTATTTATAATTTATTTTCAGTGTAAAGGATTTTGTTTTGTTTGGGTGGGGTCTTGCTATTTTGCACAGGCCAACCTCAAACTCCTGAGCTCAAGGGATCCTCCTCCCTCAGACTTCTGAGAAGCCAGGACAGCAGGCATGAGCCATCATACACAGCTCTTCCTTTTTTTTTTTTTTTTTCTTGGTACTGGGGTTTGATCTCAGGGTCTGGATACTGTCCCTTAGCTTTTGGTTTAAAACTGGTGTTCTACTACCTGAACCACAGCTCCACTTCTTGCTTTTTGCTGGTTAATTGGAGATAAGAGTCTCATGGAGGCTGGGCACTGCTGGTTCATGCCTGTTCTTTAGCCATTCAGGAGGCTGAGATCTAAGGATTCTGGTTCAAAAGCATCCTGGGCAGGAAAATCTGTGAGACTTAGCTTCACTTAACCATCAGAAAACCAGAAGTGGCACTGTGGCTCAAAATGCTAGAGTGCTAGCCTTGAGCAAAAAGAGCTCTGGGAGAATGGAATGTACAGGCCTTGAGTTCAAGCCCCATAACTCATCAAAAAAAAAAAAAAAGAGGCTGGGAAGGTGGCTCAGTGTAGAGTACTTGTCTTGCATGAATGAGGCCTAAGTTTCCATTCCTCGGCACCACATAAGCAGAAAAAGCCGGAAGTGGTGCTGTGACTCAAGTGGTAGAACACTAGCCTTGAGCTGAAGAGCTGAGGGACAGTGCCCAGGCTCAGAGTTCAAGCCCCACGACCAGCCAAAAAAAAAAAGTCTCTTGGCCCTTTCTGCCTGGGCTAGATTCAAACCACAGTCCTCAGATTTCAGCTTCATGCAAAGCTAGAATTACAGGCATGAGCCACTGTACCTCGTTCTTCCTTCTTTCCTTTTTCTTCTTTCTTTTTTTGTCAGTTGTGGGGCTTGAACTCTAGAACTCTGGGCCTGGGCACTGTCCCTCAGCTCTTCAGCTCAAGGCAAGTGCTCTACCACTTGAGCCACAGTACCACTTCCTGTTTTCTGCTGGTTTATTAAAGATGAGAGTTTCTTGAACTTTCCTGCCCAGGCTGGCTTTGAACCATGATCCTCAGATCTCAGTCTCTGGAGTAGCTAGGATTACAGGTGTTAGCCACCAGTCCCTGGCTTTTTTTTTTTTTCCCAGACCTGGAGCTTGAACTCAGGGCCTGGGCACTGTCTTTGAGCTTTTGGCTTAAGGCTAGTGTTCTGCCTTTTGAACCATGTTGCCACTTCCTGTTTTTTTCTGTTTATATGGTACTGAGGAATGGAACCCAGGGCTTCATTCACGCTAGGCAAGCACTCTACCACTAAGCCACATTCCCAGGCACTCCCCCACCTTTTTTGTAAGAACGGAAATTGCTAAGGATATGTTACATTGACTTTAACCATTCATCTATAATGGACATCTGAACTGCTTCCATTTCTTGACTATTTTGAATAATGCTTCAATCAATATAGATGTGCAAGTATCTTCAAGATTTCATTGTCAAGGCTGGGATGTACCTCAGTGATAGAGGTACATTAGCATGTGTGAGGTCTTGGGTTTTATCCCCAGCACATTATGTTAAAGAAAAATATATTTACATATTTGAGAGACTATATATATATACCCAGAAGTGAAATTGCTGGATTGCATAATTATGTTTAGTTTTTGAGGACTCTCTGTACTATTTGCCATGG